GCATAAGGAAGCTGACAAGAACTGGAAGGCTATCCTCCCATTGGTAAGGAAATTACTTGCCAGGCTGCAGCCACACCAGTAATACATCAAGCAACAGACAGGAAGTTTTGCAGTTTTTTAGCAGCAGATGCAGAGATAATTGACACACATAGAGATACCATACAGATATTTTTAAAACTGCTATTCCTTTTACAGAAGATTAAGTTTTGAGTTCAAAAAGCAAGACCTCTGGCAGGCAAATTAGGGTCAGAATGATTAAACTCCATAGCAACAAGTCTCCTCAGTGTCTCTAATTACCCTATGAACAACTGGAAATTAGAGGGTATATAAAAATGACGGCACTATCAACTGGCTAACATTCAGTTGCAGACCAAACACCCATCCATATGGATGTCCATTTGAATATTTCTGGTCCAAATATACAAATACTTTGTGAATATTTGTTTAGATATATCTGGTCATCCACATCGGTATTCAGGAATCTTGGAATACTGATATCAATATTGTGGGGAATGTTTGAGGCCAGCGTTTAAAGGCTTGCAGGCCTGTTTTTAATTTCATTTAACAAATTTCCTAGGCAACGGGAGGAGGGGGAGGAGGGAGGCAGTTCTCCCAGACAATTGGATCAGTTGTTACCGGGAGTACTTCAAAAGTCTCCCCAATCAGAACAATTCTATCATAGCAATCAGCTGAGCATGAGAACAGAGGACAAAAAGCAGGCCTGGCATTACCTTGACTCCATTTCAGGGTAGGGTCGCCAGTTCCGAGTTGGGAAATATCTGGAGATTTTGGAGGTGGAGCCTGAGGAGGGCGGGGTTTGGGGAGGGGAGTGACTTCAGTGGGATATGACGCCACAGAGTCCACCTTCCAAAGCGACCATTTTCTCCAGCCAAACTGATCTCTATTTCCTGGAGCTCAGCTGTAATCCCAGAAGATCTCCATCAGTCACCTGGAGACTGTGCCAAATAGGAATAAACCGTGATAGCCTTACTACTCAACAGTACTTATAAAAATATTTTGTATCCTCTTTTCTCATCAAGAACCACAGCGGGACCTTCATGTAAGTAGGAACCATGGCTTATGGTAGAGCGCAAGTAGGAGGTTCCCAGGTTCAGTCCCTGGCATCTCCATTCTCCAGTGAAAATGTCTGGCAGTAGGTGATGGGAAAGACCTCAGTCTAATATCCTGGAGAGCTGCTGCCAGTCTGAGTAGACAATACTGGCTCTGATGGGCCAATGGTCTGGTTTAGTAGAAGGCAGCTTCATGTGTTCCATGCCTACCTCAACTTTAGCAGGTTCTTCCTGCTTAAATCTGTGGCTGCCTAATCAGTACATATAACTGATGAGTATAAGCAATGGCTAAATTGATGTGAACCTTGCTGACCACTGTAGATGACTCCAGCTGAACATTACCCAGAAAAGTAATTCCTGAAAAACAGGAGTTGTTTCTGGCTTTGAATGCATGTATGCTTTTTCTAAGATACATTAAAACTTTCAGATGTAGGGTTGCCATCCCCCCAATGAGGGCAGGGTTTTTTGGGGGGGACCCAATCCGCCGCTGGCCAGTTGGTCGGTGGAGGAAGCCCCACCCATGAAGAGCCCTGGTGTGCAGGGACGCTCTAGCATTTCGGTAAAAACTCAATGGTGACCATAGAGTTTTTTAACCCAAATGCTAAGAGCATCCCCTGAACGATGTGCCCGGTGTGATGACATCACTTCCGGAAGAAGACCCCAGGAGCCTGGCTGGAGCCCCCTACCAGGACACAGGCAAGACCTGGCAACCCTGTTCAGATGTTGCATCCACATGTAACATGTGCTCATGTGCCTAAATTCTGTCAAGGCACAACTGATCTATGGCGACCTCAGAAAAGGGCTTTCAAGGCAAGTGAAAAGGCAGAGGTCATTTGCCATTGTCTTCCTCTGCAGAGACTTCATTGTTGGCCTCCCTTCCATGTACCGACCCTGCTTAGCTTCCGAGATCTTATGAGATTGGGTTAACATAAGGACATAAGAGAAGCCAGTGTTGGATCAGGCCAATGGCCCATCCGGTCCAACACAGTGGTCAAAAATACCAGGTGCCATCAGGAGGTCCAGCAGTGGGGCCAGGACACTAGAACCCCTCCCACTGTTGCCCCCCCCCCAAGCACCAAGAATACAGAGCATCACTTGCCCCAGACTGAGAACTCCTATCTATACCTTGTGGCTAATAGCCACCAATGGACCTCTGCTCCATATGTTTATCCAGTTCCCTCTTTAAGCTGTCCATGCTTGTAGCTGTCACCACCTCCTGTGGCAGTGAATTCCATGTGTTAATCACTCTTTGGGGGAAGAAGGACTTCCTTTTATCTGTTCTAACCCGACTGCTCAGCAGTTTCATTGAGTGCCCACGAGTTCTCGTATTGTTATACCATGTCACCTTTCCTCCCAACCTGGGCATGGGTGTTTGTTTCCCTCCTGTGTATAACAGATGAATAAACATGAGAGATATCATGGTATGTGTATGGGGGCAAAGAGCTGCAGCAGGATTTGATTCCATCAAAGATGACTGGCATCCAGGGAAGGAAGTGACATTTAGGAAGCATGAGGATTTACTCTGGATGATACAAAGTGTTGGACTGTGCCCCTTGTGGGGGAAAATCCTGCTCAGCCATGTGGTGTTTGTGCTATGGAGTCTGTCTTGTTCCCCATATTGTTTAACATCTACAAGTAACCACTGGAAGAGACCGTCTAGGGGGCTGGAGTAGGATTGCGAGCTCTGGATTGGGAACTACCTGGAGATTTTGGGGGTGGAGCCTGGGGAGAGCGGGGTTTGGAGAGGGGAGAAACCTCATCAGGGTATAATGCCATAGAGTCCACCTTCCAAAGCAGCCATTTTCTTCAGGGGAAATTATCTTGGTCAGCTGGAGATCAATTATAATAGTGGGAGATCTCCAGGTGCCACCTGGAGGTTGGTAACCCTAGTTTTGGAGTTGATGTGATCAATATATAGATGACACTCTTTCTTCTTAACAGAGGAGTCAAGTAGGGTCTGTGGAAGTCCTGAATATATGCCTGGAGAAGGTAATGGGAATGGATGAGGAGTCGAGGACCAATAAACTCCATCTCCACTTATGTCTTTTGGGCAGCTAGGAAGATCGAGAAGGAAGCCTTGTGCAGAGGGACTGAATGGGGACTTGGGTGAAAGACCCTCTCCAACATGATCTAATGGTTCTACCGATTACCCGGTAATTCCTTCCAGCCTCCTGTGACCAGAATACAAAGTCTGAAATGCTGTGCAAAATATTCTCATGTTGTTGTTTTTTTTAATCTAGATTTCTTTCTAACAAGTAGAAAGCATATGACACGCAGAAGCAGACTTTTCCCAGTTGTACAGCATTAGTATTACAGACAGTTTATTGCCAGAGAGTCTACCAAAGTGGACAACCTCCTACCTCTGCACCCTGCCTCTCCAGTCTGGTGTGGTGGTTAAGTGTGCAGACTCTATTCTGGGAGAACTGGGTTCGATTCCCCACTACTCCACTTGCAGATGCTGGGTGACCTTGGGCAAGCCATAGTTCTGTCAGAGCTGTTCTCTCAAGGACAGTCCTCGAAAGAGCTCTCTCGGCCCCAACTACCTCACAGGGTGTCTGTTGTGGGGAGGGGAAGGGAAGGGGATTGTAAGCCTCTCTGAGACTCCTTCGGGTAGTGAAGGGCGGGGTATAAATCCAATCTCCTCCTCCTCCTCCTCCTCTTCTTCTTCTTCTTTGAAGTGGCGGGAGCACATACAGGTAGTGGATGCTGTTAAACACTGTGACTGCCCTTCCATTTGTGCACCCGGAAGTGATGTCACAGCATCGTGTGACGCCAGTTTCCACAGTCGCCACCCTCCCTCAGTGCTCCCAAGGGCCGACCGACTTCTTGTTTCCTCATAGCAAATCCACATTTTATCTGTTTTATTTTAGTCAGGTTTTGAGCTGAAAGCAGAACCATTGGCTCTCATCTTGCACAGCAGGAAGGCCAGAAAGGATCCGGAACAGGCCAAAGAGACCATGAAGGAGAACATAGAGACCCGACACAGAGGCTGTTACTAGCAGAGCTGCACAGACATTTATTGAGTACAAACAATGGCAAACACAGCCGGCTCACAGAGACTGGAGTATCCTGAGCTAAGTGTGCGGGCTGTCGCTTTAAAAATGTTCTCAGCCGTCCCTGCCACACTTCCAGTATCATCCCCAGGTATTTTACTTCTGTATTTAAATAAATAACACCCCCCCCATCCCACCCCCTGTTCTCTGCTTGTTACAGACGATGGCTCACTTTGGCTCTGCCACACTGGAAGCAACTGGCAGCAATGTGGGAGCCAGCTTGGACACCCCTATTTATATTCGCTGGCTCCGGCATGTCCCGCTTCCAACAGGCCACATTCTTTAGGACATCATGTCAAATGTTTCCAGGTTGCCAAGGGCAAGAAGGGTACGGAGGTGGCAGGACGAGGGGGAAGAACAGGTGAGATTAACTATTTTCCAAGCTGCCGCTGTTCTAGATGAGGCCAGATATCTCCCCTGCTACAGGAGCCGTGAACAAGATTTAAAATGAAAGAAGTTAAGATAATTGCCTTCGCTAAATAGAGCTAAATAGAGACTAGAGACCTTTTTTTCCTCTCTGAAACCTTGCCAAGAGAAACTCCAGCAATGCCTATTGCAAATAATTAGCACTGTACATCTGAAACATAGACTGATCTGCAGCATAAATTAAAAAAAAAATCAGGAACAGAATCAGGAGCACAGAATGCAATTTATAGAGAAACGTAGTACGTGAATATGCAGTATCTGTGCATAGACAAGGACATATATATGCACAGATATACACACTCACATGTATTTGTTACCAAAGAAAAAAGTATCCAAAGAGATAGAGTGGTGTGGAGAAAGGAAGTATCGCAGGCTGTAGATGCTGGAATGAAGAAGAGTCATTGACTTGAGAGGGTCAGATGATGCACAGTGAAATATGACAGGTAGAAATTTAGAGTGCACCCATTCCAGTGACCTCAGACGTCAGCCTAGAACAGAGGAAGGTAAAGAGGGACAGAAGGAAAAGAGCTTAAGGTATCGTCCAATGTCCATGAGGATGACATACTTACAACAGACCCCATGTTACAAAAACCCTTTGCATCATAAGGTTTGCCAGGAAGGCTGATCTGTAGTCACTCTTTCTAATCTGGAGAGCCAGTCTGGTCTGGTGTAGTGGTTAAGAGCAGCAGACTCTAATCTGAAGAACCAGGTCTGATTCCCCACTCCCCCACATTAAGCCAGCTTGGGTGACATTGGGCCAGTCCCAGTTCTTTCAGAGCTGTTATCTCAAGAGCAGTCCTCTTAGAGCTCTCTCAGCCCCACCTCCCTCACAGGGTGTCTGTTGAGGGGAGAGGAAGGGAAGGAGATTGTAAACCTCTCTGAGACTCCTTGAGACAACTAGGGTATCAAAACCTACTCATTTTCTTCTTCTTCATGTGATGTAGTGATTAGACTGTCAGGGGATCTAGGTTTGAATCTCCACTCTGCCATGGAAGCTGGCTGGGTGACCTTGGGCGACTCACACGCTCTTAGCCTAGCTGTTGTATTTATATTGTCTATTTTTTTATATAATTGCTTCATTTACATCGTAAGCTGCCTTAAATTCTGCAAGGGAGAAAGGCGATGACAGAGAGAGAGAGAGAGAGAGAGAGAGAGAGAGAGAGAGAGAGAGAGAGAGATCGTGGATTTTGTGGAAAAATGGCCTAGGGATTTTCTAAATAAATAACCTTATTGTACAGTGTGATGGTTAATTCCAGGGCTATTGTAACTGGCATTTTTTTTTAAAAAAGGCTGAATAAGAAGGCCATTCCTTCACAATAAATAAAGGGCTGCTTTATAGTCTGTTTCTCACAGTACCTTTTCTAACAGGAATGCTCTCCCCCCCCCCATCATAGCCCCAAAACTTAAATAACAGAGAAAGAAGATTCTTTGTGTGGAATAACTTTGACATTGATGAAATCACTGTGTCCACCCTAGTTTCTCCTAGACCATTTCCACAAGAGATAAATTCCCCGCATTGACGTTTTAGAAACTGTGCGATATGTGACTTTTTCCGAAGTAGATTTTTCCTCACCGGGTGCAAACCTGAAGTTTTCTCCTTCTTACCCTGCGTTTTTGGAATCCCCGGCATTAGCAAGTTCAGAAAACGTGGGGTAAGAAGGAGAAAACTTTGGGTTTGGGCCTGGTGAGGGAAAAAAACTACTGCAGAAAATGTCACATAACACACACAGTTTTTTAAAAGTCAATGCGGGGAATTTCACTGCTGTGGAAATGGTCTAGGAAGTGGTTTAATCTGGGTCCTTATTCTCTGCATCTCAGAACCTCCTAAGATTGCTACAGATGTCCAGTTTTTGTGGAGTTCTTGTCCATGTGTTACATCAAAGGAAAGCAGATAAACTAGGCTACTCAGTAGATGCGTCTGAGAGCTTTACCAAGTGTGCCAAAGTCCAAGAGGAACTAGCTCACGACTAGTTTGGCCCAAGAGATGCTCCCCTCAGAGGGCGCCCGCTTCTTTTACTTCGAAAGCTGGTCATGGAGATGAGGCTAGAGGATTTTGAACGTGGCCTTCGTTAGCGCTGCTCACCTGGCATTGATGAGGTACTGGGCAAGGCTGATGTTTGCTGGGGTTCCTGTGATGGTAATTTGGCGTTCTGATGAACCTTCTGTGGCGTTGGCGATTTTGATCTGTGCTCCAGACATCTGTCTAATTTCATTGATTTTGGTCCCTTGGCGTCCGATTATACAACCTATTAGCTAGGAAAAAAAGCATGGAAGGTTTCTTACATCGGCCCCTCTGGTATAAAAGTAAACGTTTCAGAGATTTCCGGACACCTCAGGGCAAGTTTCCTTTTTGATTCTAATACTCAGGAGAGCTGTACTCCACCACTCTCCTACTGCCCCAAGTTCTCACCTAGATGTTCCCTCTCAGGTAATTTTCTGATGACAGTGAAAGCGTTTTGCCCTCTGTAACTGTTTACTTTCTAGACTTTGTGGCTAAGTCTCTCATGTACACGAAGGGTGCCGTACTCAAGGTGGGATGGAGCAATAGATGGCCTTGTCAAATGCTTAGGGGCCCTTCAGGGGCCTTCCTCTACCCCTTCTCCCCTGCTAGGACTTTGCTGTAATATATGGACAAGGGCTGTGAGGCACAGAGGTGAGGGAACTCCCATTTTGCCGATTCATGGGGCTTGTCCAAAGCTCTGCCAAGCTTGTCAAGAAAGGGGAACGCAGGTCCATGTCTCACACTCCGCATCCTCTGAGGCAGGGCTTTTTTTGTAGAACTCATTAGCAGGAACTCATTAGCATAATAGGCCACACCCAACAACAGAAACTCATTAGCATATCCAGCCACACCCATGAGAGCACAGCTCATTAGCATATTAGGCCGCACCCCCATGTTAAAACCCAGGGCCTTTTTTGTAGCAGGAACTCCTTTGCATGTTAGGCCACACACCCCTAATGTAGCCAATCCTAATGAGTTTCTGCTATTGGGTGTGGCCTATTATGCTAATGAGTTCCTGCTGGGCGTGGTCAACTTGGGAGCCAGCTGGAACTCCGTTCCTGTGCGTTCCTGCCCAAAAATTGCCCTGCTCTGAGGAGGTGAAAGAGCAGAACTGGACTGGTGGCCTTAAGTAGTAAGGATGAGAAGTTTGTTGACTCTCCATGCCCAAGCACGCATTAGCATTGTGAAATCTTCTGTCATCTAAAGGGGACGCTCAGCCTTTCAGTTAACTGCTCTGAACACAACTCATACGCACAACTCTTCCCAACAAGCAGAGACAGGCAAAATCTAACGAAGCGTGGAACGAATTTTTATGGGAAATACACTGCCAAACTTTTTGAACACAAAGGGCCCAGTAAAAAAAAAAAGGCAAGTCCAAAGCACAAAAGTGTTAAATAAAAGGTTAAACTGTAAGAGGTTGTTTAGGGAAAGGTGTGCTGGGGACCCCTAGATAACAGCTGGATCACAGTCTTCTCTCAGTTTTATCCCGGGATACGGATTTGGATCCTATCTATCAGATGATCCTTTCTCCATTCTCTGAGTGTTAATCTTCTGGACTGTGTGTCGCTGACTCTGAAACAAACTAGTGGAGCAAAGTGAAGTTCTGAATTGTCAGTCTGGTTTACTGGATTGAGTGGCCGGCCAGGACTTGGGAGACTTGGGCTCAAATTCCTGCTTAGCCATAATGAAGCTCCCTGGGTGATGTTTCTCTCTCATTTTATCCTGCCAGCCCTAGAAGAAATTCACTGATCACCAGTTCATTTCTAGACCAATGCAAGGTCTTGGTTCATACTATTATTGCCCTAAATGGTATAGGACTAGGGGGCTTCCGGGGCTACCTACTCTTAGCCTGCATGTCAATTAAGAGCCTGCATGTCAATTAAGATCAGAATCAGAGGCTATGGAGGAGGAGAAGGAGGAGATTTATACCCCACCCTTCTCTCAGAGTCTCAGAGCGGCTTACAAACGCCTTTCCCTTCCCCTCCCAACAACAGACACCCTGTGAGGTAGGTGGGGCTGAGAGAGCTCTTTCCAGAACTGTCCTTGAGAGAACAGCTCTGACAGAACTATGGCTTGGCCCAAGGTCATCCAGCAGCTGCAAGTGGAGGCGTGGGGAATCAAACCTGGTTCTCCCAGATTAGAGTCTGCATACCTAACCACTACACCAAACTGGCTCTCTCTCACCAAACTCTGCTGCATGTGTCCCCCATTGGGCAGCTGCAGGCAGAGCCTTTTTTGTGGTGGTGCCTCAGCTGTGGAATGCCCTCCCCACAGTGGCTTGCTTGGTGCCTAGTTTGCTAAGCTTTGGCCACTTCTTAAAATCCTGCAGGATCTGTTACAATTCCACAGGGCTGGCAAGTCAGAGATGTTCCATCAAGCATATGGTTGAGGACAGCAACGGTTTTTAACAACTACGGCTTTTTAACATCAACTGGTTTTAACATCAATGGTTTTGTGGGCTAATTAGTTGTGAACAGATCCTGGGTGCATTAACTGCTCCTCCCCCCTCTCCCCACTGTTAAAGTAGATCAACTGAGGGAGTAAAATTGTATTATGGCTCCATGTGGGTTTTGGGGTATTTTAAAATCGTACTTTAGATTACTTATGATTTTATATGTGTTTTATAGAACTTCGTTATACACCGCCCTGAGCCTGCTTACACCAAGGGCGGCATAAAAGCCTAATTTAATAAATAAAAATAATAAATGTTTGATTAATATATTGTTCCCGATAGTCTCGTGCCCTTGACATTCTTAGTGTTGCTTTCATTGTTTCAAACACTGCTTTTAAATTGTTTTTAAACACTCATTTTATTTTGCTGCTCTCCTCGTGATTTATAGTATTTTGTTCTAGCTTTTGACATCTGCTATAATGTTGTAAGCTTCCTTGAGCATTTGCAGCAGAGAGGCAGCCATGAAACATTTCAAACAAACAAACTACCAGAAGGCCAGAGTCCGGTATTCGAGTTGAGGAATCAGCAGAGCATGAGGCTGAATTGTTGCTAAAGAAGTGGCAAAGAAGCACTGTTCTATGGGGGGAAAGTCAACATAGACCAAACAGAGGAAGCAACAGAGAGAGAACAGTCAAAGACAAGGCCAACGGTAGGTTTTCAGTCATTTTTAGTCTGCGTTCAGAGGGATGTGATTGGGAGACACAATCAGCAGCCTGCAGGGTCCTGTACTTTTTCATATTTATGCAAGGCTGTTAAGTGAGATGATCTGTAGCTTTAAATAATTGATATGCTGAAGGCATCTTGCTACACATTTCTATATCTAAGCCCCAAGAAGCATCTGTCTGTGTTCCGGACCAGCACCTGTCTTCCACAGTCAAGTGGCTGAGGGGAACAAGCTGAAGCTAAATCCAGGCAAGACAGAAATATCGATGGGAAAGGGATGTAGTTTTGGAGAGGGTTATACCTTGATGGGGTAAGTTTGTCCCTGGCAGATTCAGTTAAGAGCTCACAGGTGTTATTGGACCCTGTTCTCATGTTACAGAAACAGGGCAGTATGGTAGCAAAAAGAGACTCTTCGCATTTATACTTAGTACAGACATTCGCAGTCCTCCTAGACTCAGGGTGATTTCCCACAAGCGCTGCTCCGCGCTCACTCCTCCTTTTTGCCCCGATGGTACGTGTCAATTTCACACAAACAGGATTGAGTAGACATGGGGGGAATCGCACGGAGCTGCGGGGCAAAATGCGGTCGCGCAGCAGCTTGTGTGAAATTGACACGTACCATTGGGCCAAAGAGAAGAGTGAGCGCGGAGCAGCGCTTGTGGGAAATCACCGTCAGCCATTTTAGCTGCACTGATGGTGCAGTATGATAACCTCAAAGTTGGACTACTGTAACTTGCTCGATAGGGGACTGCCAGAAAGGCGATGTAGAAGTTGTTGCAGAATGTAGCAGTATGTTTATTACCGGACGGAGCCAGATTTATGTATTACGCCTACCCTGCAAGAACTACATTGGATGTGGGTGTTTTCCCCAGTTAATTTCAAGGAGCTGGTTCTTACCTTTATAGTCTTTTGCGGCTTAGGGCCCATGTACTGTAAGGATTGCCTCTCCCAGTATGTTCCCATGTGACACCTTTGCTTCTTAGACCAATGCTAACTAATTGTTTCCTCCTGTAGGCTCATCAGGATCTGGGGCTTTTTTTGCTAGATCTGGGGTTTTTTAGTGGTGGCCCCCTTGGCTTGCAGAATGGCCTTGATTTGTGCATCGGGAAGGCACCTAGTCTGTTGATATGCTGAAAATGATGTAATGTGAAATTGTGCAGGAGGTTCTCTGGCAGTGGATGGCCAATCTTTCTTGAGGCTGTTCTAGTTTACAGTGTTTCTCTTGTAGTCCGTCTTGGATTATATATTGTGTTAAAATTTTTATATTCATTGTTAATATCATTGTAATCCACTATTTATCAGGGAATGGTGGGCTGAAATGTCTTAAAATAAAATAAAAAGAAGAAGAGATTGGATTTTTCCCTTCCCCTCCCCCTTCCCACAAGAGAGAGCTCTCTTCAGAACTGCCCCTGAGAGAACAGCTCTGACAAAATGTGTGACTGACCTAAGGTCACACAAGAAGCTGCATGTGGAGGAGTGGGGACCCAAACCCGGTTCTCCCAGATTAGAGTCCGCACTCCTAACCACTACCCCAAAAGGCTTAAACACCTCTTCCACAGGTTGGATAGTGACATTGTTGATAGATATGGCATCTGTGTGAGGAGAGATAATCTTGAGAGGAAAGATGAGAAGTTCAGACTTGGACATATTCAGTATCATATAGTGATGAGGAATCTAGCAGGGAAATAGCCGACAGACAGCTGGAGAACTGGAAGTGGGTGGCAGAAGAGTGTTCAGGAGAGCTGAGAAAATAGAGACCTGGCACGGTTTCTTCAGGAGCACAACACCCCATACAGATGGTTAATCCCGGAAGGCCTTACTTTCAAATTCAACAGCAAAAAAGAAAACATTGACTCTGTCTTCAAAGTGAAAAAATGTCTTGCGCACCAACAACAAGATAAAGATGGATCTGAGAAACTGGAGGACGACAAGAATGCAGAAAAAGAAGAAGAGAAAACTGAGGAAAGTTCTACCAACTCTTTGTCGGCTGAATCCTTAGATTTTGAAGCAGAACTAGGGGTTACGGCTCCTAAGCACCCTAAAAATAAAAAGGACTTTGAAAAGAAACGTAGAGGAAGTAAGTAAGATAATGAAACTCTAATGGTGTGATAATTATCAGGAACTAATAATCCCGAACTAAGAAGCATACACTAACCAAATTTGTTTGTGAACACTCGCTTTTTATATAACTATTGTATTAACTCTCATGTATTACTATTTTGACAATAGGGAATTATCCTTACTTTAAACAATTGTATTAACAATCTCTTGCTACTCGTAGTTTTAGTTTGTTCCCATCCCCAAACCCTATAGCGTGTGTGTAGTTTAGAAAAGCAATAAAAATGTTTTTAAAAAAGAAGAAGAGCTGAAAAAGAGCTGGGAGTTATCTGCATAAATGTGGTACTGAAAGCCATGGGAATGTATGAGTGCAAGTCAAAGGCTATAAGAAGGTTAAGAGAGAGGAAGAGGAGGAAGAGCTTCTCCCAATGGAAATGCCAAGTGAGCGACTGGGCAGACAGGAAGAGAACCAGCTGAAGAGAGAGTCATGGAAGAAGGAGAAGGAGGAGAAGAAGAAGGAGAAGAAGAGAAGGAGGAGGAGAGGAGGAGGAGGAGGAGTTGGTTTTAGTACCACACTTTTCACTGTCCAAGGGAGTCTCAGGCCAGTTTACAATCTCCTTGCCTTCCTCTTCCTACAACAGACACCCTGTGAGGTAGGTGGGGCTGAGAGAGCACTGAGAGAATTGCTCTTGAGAGGGGCTGTGGCTCAGAGGCAGAGCATCTGCTTGGCATACAGAAGGTCCCAGGTTCAATCCCTGGCATCTCCAGTTAAAAGGGCCAGACAGGAGGTGATGTGAGAGACCTCGAGCTGAGATCCAGGAGAGCCGCTGCCAGTCTGAGCAGACTATACTGACTTTGATGGACCGGTGGTCTGATTCAGTATAAGGCAGCTTCACTTGTGTTCAAAGGAGACAAGGAGGCAGTCGGGTCAGAGGGATTATCAACGTCATGGCTAAGGAGCACGATGGGGGACAAGAAAGTGGATCAGCATCAAAATCTGAAATAAAATTTGGGAAGGAATCAGAGGGGCTGTCTAGGGCATGCAAAAAGGCTCACGGGTCCATTCTGCATCTGGCATTTTCTCCACATTTTCTCAGCTCTCAACCTGGTTCCCCCTTGCCTCGGAATATCTGTTTTCCTTGCATTGCCTCGGATCCAGGTCCCTACACTGGCTAAGTGTCAGTTTGCCATCTGTTTTGTTTTCAACGCTCGCTCCTATGGTTATATGGAAACCTCTTATAGAATCCTTGCCCGAGACAAGGAAAAAATGAACAAATGACATGTGGTTTTGAAGATTAAGTGGCAAAAATAAGACGCTTACAGGGAAAGGCAATGCACTTCTTTTAATTTGATTTCAGAGTAAGATTCTAACATTTGAATGCATATTTCTCCGTCACAGAGAAAATCGGAAATGATTTCTTCCTGCTTTCCCCACAATTGCTATAGCTTGATTTCTTTTCTTTTTCTTTTCCCCCCCTTCTCTTTTAAATCTTTTTTTGTTTAAAAACTTCAATAAAATTTACTTTATTTTTTTTAAAAAAGAAACTGCCCACTTTAGAGCAGCCTATCACATCCCACATACATAAAGCTGTTGGCTGCCAAATGGGCTTTTTTCAAGCTGTGGACCCCCTTCACTGTTTCTGAATAGCCAGACGACCTATATCATCATGTTGGAAGAAACCATGGCTGATTTCGCACTAGAGCTGCCTCACTGTTGCGCCGCCGTTTGCCCCAGTTCTTTTGGTCAATTTCGCACCTGAAGCCGCGCGGCTGATTTCGACCCGCAGCTTCGCCCGATTTCCCCCGCAGTTTCGTGATCCTGTTTTTTGAGGATCAACGAAACTGCGGAGGAAATCGGGTGAAGCCGTGGGTCAAAATCAGCCGCGCGGCTTCTGGTGTGAAATTGACCAATAGAACTGGGGCAAACGGCGGCGCAATAGCAAGGCAGCTCTAGTGCGAAATCAGCCCATCAAATCCTGCCCAATGGCAGGGCCATCCGTCTGCCATCCACCCCACAGATTATCCTAGACTGTGGTCCGTTCTGCACCCTCCTTTAATCCACGTTCACTGCGGTGTCCTCCAAGGAATTCTGCACGAAAATCTAATTCAACCTTCTTTTGAATCCAGGTCCCCCCCCCCCTCTAGATTTGCATGATCCTCCTATTTTTAAGAAGAAAGAAACATGCAAGCCCAGCTGCACACTTATGTGGATGTCATTCAACAGTCACTAGATATTTTCTGTGTGGAGAAAGAAGGGCTCACACGGAACTTCTACCAGCCCACTTGACTGAGGGCCCAGAGAGGAAATTTTATCTGATATAGTCTCATGTGAAAGACTAGATTTCATTTTGGTCACCTTCATTCAAAAAGGAAAAAAGAACAGAAATTCATTCCACAGAGCGCTGCTGAATATTTTTGAGGATTTTGTTTTGCTGTATTGAGACTCCCATTTTCCGTTTACACAAAAACACACCCAAAACTGAACAGACGGTTTTAGACTCAGCTCTAGAATGTAAACATGACGAGCCTAACATAAAAGAACTAGAAGGCTCAGGGGGGATACTGGAGAAGCTAGGCTAGTTTAGAACAGGATAGAATTCAATTAGGGAATGAAAACTCTTAAGGCAGTGTGTGAGGTGGCGTGAAGGGAAAAATAAGTAGACATGGGAAGGATTAAACTAGCAGAGAAGCTGCTATGGTAGCATCTGCGTTTTCGGAACCCCCAGTTTTAGCGAGTTCCGAAAATGGGGTAAGAAGGAGAATACTTCGGGTTTGCGACTGGTGAGGAAACGTCAGTGCGGGGAGTTTCACTACTGTGGAAATGGACTCGGATGGAAACAGATCCTTTCCTTTGCTCTCCTTTCCTCTCCCCCCACAAAAAAAATAAGGCATGCCTTCCCCCCCCCTAGATGACATGTGATCAAGCTGTTTTCCATATCTCCTTCAGGTCAATTCACAGCAAACCACATGGATTAGATCACCACACGATATAGATTAGATCACCACACGAGAGGGTAGAGATCAGGATAGGAAAGGACAAGAGAAACGGTTCCCTTCCTGTCTAATGCCTCTTGGTGAGCTGCTTAAAGGAGGTTCCGGTTGTTCCCTTCCCTCACGCTGTCAAGGGGAACAGCCACAGATGGGTGGGGGTCATTCTCTAGGGTTGTCACTCAGGCAAATTCCATAAGTACTACCAGGGCTCTTTTTGTAGAAAAAGCCCAGCAGGAACTCATTAGCAGAATAGGCCACACCCAACAGCAAAACTCATTAGCATATTAGGCCACACCCCTGACAGCACAGCTCATTCGCACATTAGGCCGCACCCCCATGTTACCAGAAGTGTGGCCATCCAGCCACACCCACCTTTCCCTTCTTATTCTGTTTACCTTGTTTGTTGTCAAAACCCAGGGCCTTTTTTTGTAGCAGGAACTCCTTTGCATGTTAGGCCACACACCCCTAATGTAGCCAATCCTAATGAGTTTCTGCTACTGGGCGTGGCCTATTATGCTAATGAGTTCCTGCTGGGCGTGGCCAACTCAGGAGCCAGCCGGAACTCCGTTCCTGTGCATTCCTGCCCAAAAATAGGCCTGAGTACTACATTAGCAAATGCAGCCCTCACCCCACCCCCACGACCCCAATCTTCCCTTTCACTCCTCAGAGTTGAGGCATCATCCTTCCGCAGCAACAACAACAACAACAACAACAACAAAGGCCTTGAAATGACATGCCTGGAAGTAACCAACGGGCTTATCTCGAGCTGCCTCGCCTGGATGTCATTTGAAGACTAACAAAGTCTGTTAAGATGGTAATGGAGAGTACTGACATGCGATACTCACATCATTGGGAATGGTGAGTTCATGAGTACTGGCCGGGGGACTGGCATCCAGACCTGGGCATATGCAAGGGAAAATGGTTATCACTGGAAGAGAAAGTCCTGCTCACTGTCTGGTATTTCAGCAAAATAGCAGACCTTGTGAATTTCTCAGGCTGCACCACGGCCGGGGGGTGGGGGGGAGGAAGGAAGACATTTTGGTAAAATAGCTGGGAAAGCGCCTCCTAAGACTAATAACCTAGAACTCGGGAACAAATGATGCTTCAGTGGTCGCTTAACCTGTCCCGTTGGTTCCACAGTTATAGGTAACCTCACCTCGTCTTGCCTATTTCTGTATGTTTGTGTCTATGTGTGGAAGGGAAATAAAACCATCCCTGCCCTATGCTGCTGTTAACCAATGATGCCTCATCTACTGGGCCCAGCTCCCAGAAGCCTTTGGCACCTTGGGAGTCTAATACGTTTGGCTCATGGACAAATGCATCAACATCCATGTGGTGGGAAAGTGGGCGACGTCTACAAAAGTGGGCATCAACTAGGGTTGCCAACTCTAGGTTGGGAAATTTCTGGAGATTTGGGGGTGGGGTCGGAGTAGGGTGGGGCTTGAGAGGGGAGGGACCCCAGCAGGGTACGACGCCATAGTGTCCGGCTTCCAAAGCAGCCATTTTCTCCAGGGGAACTTTGTCGTCTGGAGGCCAGTTCTAATTCTGGTAGATCTCCAGGCCCCACCTGGAAGCTGGCAACCTTAGCACCACCGCATTATGTTCTGGGTCTCCACCTGACTTTTGTGTGTGGGCTGCCCAAAACAGATAGTTTACACCCTTCCCCACCATTTCTGGCTGTACACTACACTGATGCCAACTACAAGGGAGGGAGCGTGTCCTCAGTCCTCACACAAAATCCAGTGAGAGGACAGAATCCTGGGAAATTACTCTCTGCTAAGGTATGGCCAGAACCACCAAAGATACAGCCTGAGGGGGAAAGGGGTAAACAGGAGGATGGGAGCAGAGCTTTCTGGGAAGGCTCTGAGCGAGAAACAGTCTCTCTTGTTTCAAATCTGGTCAGGAAACAAGTTACGACGACCACAACCCCCAGAGCAGCACAAAAATTGTAGCCAGAGGGAAAAATTCAGGTCCATGGCAGATACAGCAGCAAAGGTGGGCATGAAGTGAGGAGGACTGGCCGATACCGTGACCTTCAGTGCCATCCTAAACAGAGTTCTACCCTTCTAAGCCCATTGACTTCAGTGGACTTAGAACGGTGTAACTCTGCTTCAGGCGGCTCTGTTTGTCCGGTAATTCTCCACATCTCTTGCTTTTTTCTGAACCCCTCAGTTTTCTTCAGTCTGTGTCATAGCTGCAGTCCTATGACCCACTTCCTTATCCATTTGCTGCTGGAATATGTCCACGGGGCAGGGATTTCCGGACTGACATGTTGATTAGCGTTCTGTCTTCACTCGCGAACACACAAACAACCCTCGTACGGTGTATATTCCCATACTGAGTAATACATGGCTGAGGTGAAACCTCCTCCTTTTTTATAGACATCAAAGAACCATACACACTTTCCACAAAGCTGTTGTCCAAGACGACACAGAGCGGTGTTTCTTAACTGAGTGAACCCAGTTCAGTCATCCACATCATCTGTATTATGGAGCACATTTCAGAAGATGGAAAATGCTTCTGATAATCTTAGTCCTTATCAGGGCTTTTTTTGGTAGAAAAAGCCCAGCAGGAACTCATTAGCATAATAGGCCATACCCAACAGCAGGAACTAATTAGCCTATTAGGCCACGCCCTGACAGCACAGCTCATTCGCATATTAGACCACACCCCCATGTTACCAGAAGTGTGGTCATCCAGCCACACCCACCTATTGCTTCTTATTCTGTTTACCTTGTTTGTTGTCAAAACCCAGGGCTTTTTGCATGTTAAGTCACATACCCCTAATTGTAGCTGATCCTAATGAGTTTCTGCTGTTGAGTGTGGCCTATTATGCTAATGAGTTCCTGCTGGGCGTGGCCAACTTGAGAGCCAGCCGGAACTCCGTTCCTGTGCGTTCCTGCCCCAAAATAGCCCTGGTCCTTATAATATCTAGTGCCTCCACATCAGTTGGAACCCCCCATCCCCTCAAGATGAAGGATGTTTGCCTGTAATGATCTCCAATGGGTATGAGTCACAATGAGAAGCATCATGCACTTTTTACTTGTGCTTCTTCCTATAAAATTATGGGAAACATGTAGGGTTGCCAGCACCAGGTTGGCAGATTCCTGGAGATTTGGGGGATGGAACATGGGGAGAATGGGATTTGAGGAGGGGCGGGACCTCAGCAGAGTATAATGTCATAGAGTCCACCTTCCAAAGCAGCCATTTGCTCAAGGGGAACTGATCTTGGTCGTCTGGAGAGCAACTGTAATTCCAGGAGATCTCCAGGCCCCACCTGGAGGGTGGCAACCACAAATAGACCAGCACCTGTGATAGCTCACTATAAAGTGTACAGTGCTTGGACTGATCCTTTCTAGTGAACCACCCGGAGGTGGGCAGTCCTGGATATAGTATGAAAACCGTGGTTGACACACGGTGCTAGAGAGATGATTCTCAGCTTGGAAATACATTGGATTTGGAATTCTACTTCCAAGGAAAGGAATTCAGGACTACAGTTCAGTCCTAGCCACAGTACTGCAAGTCTATTTTTATGCTCCCCCCCCCAAGCGTTTGACAGAAGCTTGTTTTTAACTATTGATGTGGCAAGTTGTTAAGGGAGAGAGGTGCAAAATAGGAGAAAGGCACTGGAGCACAACTGGGGCAAAAAGTTGATCTCTGGGATCTTGTGGGGCTGCCAAGCTCATGCTGGGAAATTCCCGGAGACTTGGGGGTGGAGCCTGGGGGGAGCAGAGTTTGGGGAGGGAGCTTAGCAGGGTTTAATGCCACAGAGCCCACCCTCCAAAGCAGCCATTTTCTCAAGGGGAATGGATCTCTGTAGTCTAGATATCAGTTTCTAGTTCCAGGAAATCTCCAGACCCAACCTGGAGGTTGTCAACCCTATGACAGGCTCATGATTCTGTCCAGAGGTTACTGTAGGTCTATCAGCACCTGCCAGAGGGATCCAGAAAGAAAACGGAAAAAAGTCCTTTGGGCCACGCTCTCCATCGAGTCCCCCCTCCAAAGCAGCCATTTTGTCTTGGGGAACTAGGGTTGCCAGCCCCCTGGTCCGGGCGGAGTTCCCCTGCTTTCATGGGCCCCTCCCCACCAGCAGCCAGGTGGCCAGCGGGGGGAAACCCTGCCTGCAAATGCCCTGAAACACGGTGCGATGACATCACCCGGAAGTGACGTCGTCATCGCACCGCCGTGGTCACATGGTGACACTCTAGTTTCTGGGCAAAACTCTGTGGTAAATTTGGGCCCAAACAATAAAGTTTTGCGCAAACACTAGAGCGTCGCCATGTGACAGCACCGCGAAGCGTGTGTGGCAAAGAACTCCCAGAGAGGACCTTCAGGCTCCCCACTGGCAGGACGGTAGGACCCGGCAACCCTACGGGGAAATGATGTTGTCTGGAGCTCTCCAGACCTTACCAGGCACTCCCCAAATGTAGACAGTGCTTCCATCTGAGGGTTGCCATAGGGTTTTCCCCCCTCACAGGGTTGCATTGCTGCACATGTAATAATTTAATTTATGCACATGTTAAAGGCACAATTGTCCTTTTTTCCACTAGGAAAAAAAAAACATAGATGGGACCAGGGGTCGTTTCGTAGAAAAAGAGCTAGGGGAACTCATTAGCATAACTCATTAGCATATGCCACACCCCCTGACATCACCGGAAGTGTGTCATGAGGCCACACACCCCGCCCCCAACGGTCCCGGCCGCTGCCGCCGGCCTTGCAGCTCCACTGCCGAGCCCCATAAGGGGCCGGCGGTGGACCTGCAAGGCCGGCGGGAGTGCAAGGAAGTCCCGCGAAGGCCCTCCCTGGCCCCAGGCAGGCAGGGGTGGGGAGAGACAGGGAGGAAGCAACTTACCCTCCCTCTTCTCCTGCCTCCTCCTGGCTGAATGAGGGCCGGAGGCAGGATGGCCTGAAGAAGGGGGCGGGGCTTCGTCATGTGCCCTGCCCCCCGCTCCTCACCCGGGGGAACTGCGTTCCCCCGCGATCTCCCCCGAAATGACCTCTGGATGGGACGTATTTTCCAAGTCTGGAGTAGTCTGAATTTCAAGGGATCATGTCTTTAGAGGAGTAGCAGTAAATAGTAGTAATAGCAACTGCAGCGCGTAGGGCTCTTTGCATAAGTTCTTGTGCTGCAGTCCTTTCAGAAATCCTGTGAGGAAGGCGCCCTGTTGTCTCTGATTCTGGCAGGGCTCAGACAGAGGGCCTTGCCTATAATACCCCCCTGGACGAGGTGAGGTTTGAACAAGGGATACTTTGAGACCGATCAAAACCAACTACTCTCATGTTGTTAGCATGTTGTTAGCAGGTACAGGAGGGTTGTGGGTAGGGATATGGAGGGGCTGTGACACCAGCTGCAGTGCCACGTCACTTCTGGTAAAACAACCACCACCACCCATGGATGTGCCACAGATTGCTCTAGGAATCACCAGAAACTCTACGGTCACCCTAGGTTCCTAGAGCAACCTATGTCACTTCCTTTTGTTTACCAGAAGTGACGTGGCTTCACATGCATAGCGGCAGAGTTTAACATTTATTTCTCTCAACATCGCTTGGAATGGTTGTAGGCAACAGGAGTGTGGTTTGGAGTTCCCCACTCCTACCGGGGAACGGGACACCTGCAGGCAGGACAGGAAAAGCTCCACCTGCTCCAGTTCCCTCTTGCCCAGGAACGATGGAAGTGTCCTCCTTTGCCTCTGGCTAGCCCAGTCCCCCTCTCCTGGCACAACCAGCCCCTTTTTTCTCTGGAAAGATGAGAATCAGCTGGTCAGCCCAGGCAGGCATTTGGTCAGACCATTAAAGCCGTGTACATTTGCCCATCTTTCCTATTTTAAAGAGAAGCAGAGAATGTGCTGAGAAGAATACTTACACGCTACTAACATCTCAAAGAGCGATGAGTATATTACCGACACAGTAATTGACTGGGAAAGCATTGTTAACTGGCAAGGTTTAAATGAGTAAAACTCGAGCTGCATACTGCAGCGTGGTCTACTGGTTAGAGTGTCAGATTAGAATCTGGGAGATCTGGCTTCAAATCATCACTCTGCCATGGACGTTTGCTGGGTGACCCTGGGGTGGGGTTGCCAGGTACCCCTTAGCAACCAGCGGGGGGTTACCGGCAGCAAGAGGGCCTAATCTGGCATTTCAGCCTTGCTGCCGGTAACATGGTGATGTCACTTCCTGCTGGGGTTGCCAGGTCCAACTCAGGAAATATCTGGGGACTTTTGGGGTGGGGCCAGGAGACTTTGGGGGTGGAGCAAGGATGTGACATCACTTTTGTGATGTCACTAGGGTCGCCAGGTGAGGCTGACAAGCCAGAAGGTAGTTCTGGCCATCACATTTAAAGGGATCACATTCCTTTTAAATGCTTTCCCTCCATCGGAAATAATGGAGGATGGGGGCACCTTCTTTTGGGGCTCAGAGAATTGGACTCCTTGGTCCAATCTTGAAACTTGAGGGTTTTTTCTCACCAGCCATGCTGAAAATTTGGTGCCTCTACCTCAGAAAACAGCCCCACAGAGCCCCCAGTTACCCACAGATCAATTCTCCATTATAACCTATGGGGATGGGTCTCCATAGGGTATAATGGCCCAGTGGCCATTTCTCCCCCTCCCCCCGCTTTTTGACAACCCTGAAGCGGGGGAAGGGGTTCCAAACCAGGGGGTCCCCTGCCCCCCACTCGGGATTGGCAACCCTACTTCCCACACGTGACGAAAGTGACATCATTAGGTCACTGGTCAACATGGCACATCTCTGGTATTTAGGTTAAAACGTCTATGTTTTCATCATAGAGTTTTTGCCCAAATACCAGAGCCTCATCGAGTTGCCAGTGAAAGTATGACATCACTTCCGGTGCACTCCAGAAGTGATGTCACCACTTTGCTGGCAATATGGTTGAAATGTCGGACTACAATACAAGATAAAGAACAACGGCACAGCAATATATGTTAAACAAGAAAAAAATGCATGTGCCAAAAATCAATTATTAAAAATCCTATATATTTTTTTATTGATATTACATTTACAATTACTCACTCTAACATGACAAATTTTCCCATGACATATATCACAAATAAGTCGACAAGTAGAAATACAACAGGTAAAGTTTTTCATTAACATCCATGTGATAATTATATCAAAAGGGTCCTTTTGACTCTAAGGATGTGTTTCCTCACATAGAATGTCTCTGCCAGCCGGCTTGACAGATTATAAATCCGTTTCAATAATTTTTTCAAGAATCATTTTCTTCTTCTTCTTTTCATTCTAATCCTAACACAGGCACAACTATGAAGGATCACAGTAAAATAAGCCACCAAAACCGCCAAAACCTTAATCGGAAGAGTTTTTTCATAAATACCTTTGTAATAATTAAAATTCAAAAAGTCCTTGAACTGTAAGGACGTAGTAGCGTCTCTGCTAGCTGACTCGACGGACTCCCCGGTTATAAATCCATTTCAATGATTTTTTTCCAAGAATCATGCTGGATTCAACATTTCAAAGATAACGTGTAAACATCCACAAGGTATCAGTCAGATACAGCAATCCACAGTGGCCCCCAATGGGAAATCAATCATTTCTTGGAACCTCCCTTCAAAAGTCTGAAGCATGTCTCCACTATACCATTTTCCCTCTAATGAAATTTGTCATGTTATAGTGAGTAACTGTAAATGTAATACCAATAAAAATATATATTTAGGATTTTTAATCATTGGTGCTTGGCACATGCATTCTTTTCTTGTTCGAAATGTCGGACGAGGCATCACCCACTGCTAACAGGTTCCCTAGCCGGCCAGCTGATAGGTGGCGGGGAGGTGGGGTCCAGGGTTGGGGGACCCCCATCTCCAGCAGGGTCCCAGCAACTCAACCCTGGGCCAGTCACGCACTCTCAGCCTAACCTACCTCAGAGGGTGGTTGTTACCAGGGCTTTTTTTGTAGAAAAAGCCCAGCAGGAACTCATTAGCATAATAGGCCATACCCAACAACAGGAACTCATTAACCTATTGGGCCACACCCCTGACAGCACAGCTCATTAGCACATTAGGCCGCACCCCCATGTTATCAGGAGTGTGATTATCCAGCCACACCCACCTTTTGCTTCTTATTCTGTTTACCTTGTTTGTTGTCCAAACCCAGGGCTTTTTTGTAGCAGGAACTCCTTTGCATGTTAGGCCACACACCCCTAATGTAGCCAATCCTAATGAGTTTTTGCTGTTGGGTGTGGCCTATTATGCTAATACGTTCCTGCTGGGCGTGGCCAACTTGGGAGCCAGCCGGAACTCCCTTCCTGTGCGTTCCTGCCCAAAAATAGCGCTGGTTGTTACGAGGATAAAATGAAAGAGAAGAGAATGATGTAAGCCCCTTTGGGTCTCCATTGGGGAGAAATACTAGGTATAAATGGAGTAAATAAAATAAAAATAAATAATGGTGACACCCACAAAACAGATCATACTGGAATTAAGATTTGTTTCTCTTATGCGGAACGTTCTTTGAACTGACGTCATTTAACACGGCTGGCACCTGTGAGGAAGTCATCTAGATTTCCAGTGAATTTCAGGCAGTAAATTGTTGCCTGGCACATAGACAGATGGAGGCTGTGCTGTAGCCCTATGGATACAGCTGGGACGTTAAAGAAAAGTAGTTGCACAGATAGGCAGGAAACTGAAAGTAAGAAGAGCCAAAACATTGTGCTTTTAAAAAAATAATAATACAGAAATGTCCCCTTAAGGAGGGCTACTTTAAGTCTGAAATGCCATTCTAGCACAGAGACATTCTAAGACTATGAGAGGTTCTAGTCTTTTTCAGGGCTCTGGAGTATAAACTGGGGCTTGTCCTGTGTCCGAAAGCCCTTGTTCTTGCTCACTGAAAGTCAATTACTTCCTCTCACAAGCACGGCAGAGGGAGGCAATTTGCGTATGGCTAGCAACAGCCGATTCACGGAGGTGTTATCATCGCAACAGAAGAGCCTATGAAATTTCCCTGCAGCCCTTTTATTTTTACCTGCTGATTGGCCCATCAGATTTTGAGCTTCTTCGGAGGAATGTAAGGGCAGCTTTTCTCCTGAAGAGCAAAGAAGAAACAGATTTAAGGGCGTTTGCCTTCGAGGAGATAAGCAATGTCACTTCATCTAGGAAGCTCAAAATATGATGAACAAAACCGGTAGAACAGGCATCTCTGCGGTGGTCCTAACGACACGAAGATATATTCTGCGACACGCACAAGTGGCAGTTACCTGCCTGTCTAGGGCTCTTGTGACCAAGAATTAACGTAAGGCTGCATTTTGCTGGTATTTGTGAGACACGGTGGCCCTTTGTGGAAGGCCAAACGAGGCTGGCTTCAAAGGAAGGGGTGACCCGCTAGAATCACAGACCTCTTCCTGCATTTCTCACGAGCATCCCATTCTGCGTGTTCATTAACAACCTTCGGCATCTTTGAATATATAAATGAAACATTATAGGCAGTCCCTACAAGCATCAGAGAGAACTGCAGGAATTCACATTCTTTTTTTCTGACTGTCCCAGCTGATGGCCTCTCATGTACATAGTCCACAGACATCACCCTGAAAACACTCGCTCTTGTCTGTTCTCAGAAGCTAAGCAGGGTCGGGCCTGGTTAGTACTTGGATGGGAGACTGCCTGGGACACAGCGGACATGGCGGACATACGACCAGCAACCATTTAACCCATTCGTTCCCCCAGAAACCAAAGCAGTTTAAACTTCGTCCCCAATAGCAGACTGAACTCATGCCAATAACGAAGGACAATTGATCTGAGATATTACGCAGTGGTGGCGAACCTATGGCACGGGTGCCAGAGGTGGCACTCAGAGCCCTCTCTGTGGGCACGCGTGCCATCGCCGCAGCCAGGCCCAGACCATCATTAAAGTGTCGAATTCTCTGCCAAATAATTTTAAGTAAATGAAAGCATTTGGGATTGCTTTCCTTACTTTGTTTGGATCATCTTAAGTTAATGTAGGAGTTGTTTTTTCTAAAGTAAAACCTCAGTGTTCAGGTTAAATTGCCGTGTTGGCACTTTGCGATGAATAAGTGGGTTTTGGGTCGCAGTTTGGGCACTCGGTCTCTAAAAGGTTCGCCATCACTGCTCTAGGGTCTTCAACCTCTCCCCCACTGATAGTTGCAACTTCAATTTATATATACTTCCTATTTCCTTTTCATTCAACAAAATGAGCTTAGAAAGAAGAGAGAAAACTGCACAGGTAAGAAGAGAAGGAAATCCATAAAGGGAATCTGGGTACGTACCAGGGAAAGCAGGGGTGGTCTGTCCAAGGGGAGTAAAGGGGGTTTGCTGCATAGCCAGCTGGTGGAGCTTGGTCAACTGCTGAGGGGTAGGAGGGACATTAGAACTAAGAAGGTTATTGTTATAGAGTACAAGAACAAAATTATAATCCAAAAAAATAACAACGACAGGAAGCCATGTGGGAACATGGCAAACACAGCTTTAACAGAAGGACTTGGCCTGGGTAAACGCAATCATGCCCACATTCGGGGCAGTTGTGCTCGAGCAGGGTCTGAAATACAGGAGCCTAGTTTGGGTTTATCTGACTCGATAGCTGAAAGGGAAGAGAGGAGGACGAGGTAAACCAGCCGCTCTGGGTCCCCACTGGGGAGAAAGGCATGGTATATGAAGTCAGTCAGTCAGTCAGTCAGCCAATCAGATCCTGACAATACAATTATCCTTTTCTCTCCTGACAGAAGTTTGGCCACTCCAGCTTAGGAGCAATGTTGCCACAGACCAGTAACTGGTGTCTAAGTCGGTGACATGGTGATAGATATTCCAGGGGCCCAAACAGTGGTCCAGTTGCACAGTTTATGGGGCAAGTGTGTGACTTGGCCAAAATAGGTATGTATTTCAGACCCTGTTCACCCCTTGTTATGCTCCAAACTTTTGAGCGCCCCTTTACAAAGACCCTGTAAAGAGGACTGCATTTTGGAATACATTTTGTGCTGTTATCTCTATTGGTATTATCAAAGTAACAAAAGAATCGTCAAGTTCCCTTTCAAAATTTTGCGGTGTAGCCCAAGGGAGCAATATTTCAAGTGTTTAAATGCTGAAACCTGAACAGAACTGCAGAAATCAGCCAAAGGACACACCTCAAGCCAATCCAGCCAGCCCTCCAAAAAAACCCCAAAAATCTAAGATGGGGGTGCTTGTAATTGGAACTGGAGGGCGGGGGCAAAATGTTTTAAAAATTCTTGCTCCTGCAGCATCTCTGAGGGAAGGGATGGAGGGAAATCTGACACTGGCAATAGCGAGGGTGAAGCATTGGTCAGGCAGAACACCCGGGGAGGGGGGACTGAAGAAGACAGGTAGGAAAGCTGAGGGGAGTTTGAGAAGTAGAGCAGCCCCCTCCATTATGAGAGGTGGCAAGCAAGCTGGTCACCAGAAGCGGACGGCATGCAAGGAAAGTCCAAGTTTAAAAAGCAGAATGATGAAAGAAGTCATAGTTTAAAGGCACTAAAGAGAGTCGTCACAATCCAGTTTACTTTCCAAACCAAACCCACTGTAAACGTCACTGCTCTAAACTCTGGTGCACACTCCTATTCAAATTTATCATTAAGAATCTAACAGCACCAACCTCAGCAAAGTTACACCATTCAAAGCCCACTGACTGCAGTGGATTTAGAATGGTAGAACTCTGCTTGGGACTGACAATGGAAGTCAACTACGGCCCTTTCTGCACCCGTATTTTGCCCGGGTTTCTGAGCGCATCCTATTCTTCCGTTCTATATCCCCTCCCTCTTTCAGTTCCGGTTTGTGTTTGGGCTTCTTCTTGTTTCTGCATTTGTTTTACAGGAATCTGCATTCAGACCCCTTCCAGCACACTGTTGCCCTGCAGTTACCAAAACTCCTTTTGCTGTGATTCTTTGTTCTCATCCGCTTTTGAATTGCTAATCCTCTGGAAAGTAGAATTGTTTCTGCGGGTATTTAAGTGCTGCTCACTGCCCCTCCCCTGTTTCTGCCTCTGTCTTTTTAGGTTGATGCTCCCTCCCTATTCTGCTTGCTTTCCTATCTTCTCCAAAGACAAAAGAGGACTTGTCCCCCCCATTCAAACTTTAAAAAAACTAGAGAGCGTAAGAAGGAATCAGTAACTATAAAGGACTAGGGGATTCCCTGCTCCCAAATGTGTCAGTCTTGCATATGTGGGCCTGGGTTTCCCCCTCCCCTCCCCTTTCTTTTTGCAGAATCACAGAGGGAGGGAGGGAGGGAGGGGTTAGGGTCTGCAGTTAAAAGTTTAGAAAGATGTTTGCCTTTCTCTTCATCTCAGACAAAGCAGCCAGTTAACTCAAAAAAATGTGGGTTTTGCTTGTAGATGCAGAATGCATACAGCATACACAAATAAATAAACCAGAGGGGAAAAACTAGTGCAGAGGGAATTTGTGCGACTGTGAAGTCAACCCTTAAGGCTTGACTCCTCGGATTCTCTGGAGCAAGCTGTCAGTGCAGAAATGGCCTACATCTCATACTAAAGTCACATGCTGCACAGCTATGTGGAAATCAAGTAATCTAGCATTTGTTGCACCATCCTGGTTCACTTTGCCTCGTTTCTGCTAATATCTCGACACTTGCACTACTTTTTTAAAAAAATCAAGACTGTACCACCATGTTTGGCATGAGTTTATTCTGGCAAAAAGAGCAGAAGATCACATGAAAGTGTTCCATGTGAACGTATGCAAATGGAAATGAATAAATAAGATCCGCCTGGCTTGATCTCAGAACCTCCTTTGCCTTCATGTCAAAGATATGGAGGGATTTTCCATTGACAGACCCTCCCCCTGTCCCTTTTACCATCATTTTCAGTTAGGGCCATTTCTTCTTCCTGTTGCGAAAAGTTCATTTTTGTTTGTTAGTTTACTGTTGTGAAAAAAATGTAAGCAAAAGTTTCAAAACGTAGACCCAGTCAGTAGGGTTACCAGGTCTGGGTGGGGAAATACCTGGAGACTTTGGGGGTGGAGCCTGGGGGGGTGGGGGTTTTGGAGGGGAGGGACCTCAATGGGGTACAAAGCCATAGAGTCCACCTTCCAAAGCGGCCATTTTCTCCAGGGGGACTGATGTTTGTCGCCTGGAAATCAGTTGTAATCCCAGGAGATCCCAGTTGTAATCGGTTGTAATTCTAGTCATCACCTGGAGGTTGGCAACTATACTCAGGAGGCTCATTTGGCACACCAATAATTCACTGAAAGGGGGATCATGTTGGAAGAAAACAAAAGCAAAATCTTTAAAATAGATACTAATAACGAAACCTGAGAGATTCAGATCAGTTCTCTGGGTGGAAGATGCCAATGGTAGGGTTGCCATTCCCCAGAGCGGGGGAAAACCCTGTTTTTTTGGGGGGCGTCCATCCACCACCAGCCAGCTGGCCGGCAGAAAGAAACAGAAGGGACATCAGTACGTTGGGGATGTCGCATGGTGACGCTCTTGTTTTTGGGCAAAACTCTATGATTTGAGGCTGATTTTTCCATAGAGTTTTGCCCAGAAACAAGAGTATTGCCACACAACATCCACGACATGCTGATGTCACTTCTGCATGATGTAGGGCTGCCAAATGCCCCCGGGGGGTGGATTTCCCCCCGCTTTCGAGCCCCGATTTCCACCCCTGCGGAATCGGGGCCCGGGGGAAATCCCACCCCCGTGTGCACGTCACCCGGATGTGACGTCACACGCTGGGGGCGGGGCCACAGCCATTTGAGGGGAAAACTCTATGTTTTCCCCTCAA